ATCACAACCGATGGCATGTAGGGCTGAGATTATGGCGAGGGAATATTCATCAGCACCATACTTCTGCTTCTTCTCATTCCACACTGTCTCTCCACGCCCATCCGAGACTATGCTGACGTCTATTACAGTTGCACGGCGATCTCGAACATCGATTAGGTAAGGCTTCTAGTTTTTCCATGAGGAACGTGATTTAGGATTTGGGGCTGGATGCTTCATCGCCGAATATATACAATCGTAGTTCCATGCAAATAGAGTAGCTGTCTATCAGGGTTTGTAGGTAGGTAGACCTCGTCGGGGTTGTACCATTACAAAGGCAGTGAATGCCTTTCATTCTCTATATACACACCCATTCAAATCTTCCTGACAAGTCACGCTGGAACATTCGCAAGGGCTGGAATGAAAGCCAACAACACTAGTTATGATCCTGAATGAAATTAGTCATGATGCAGCATAGAACCAGATTATATAGGCGCGAAAAGTCAATGTGAGGTACATTGTACGACAACGTAAGCTACGGAGAAGTGGAATTTTCGGGTCAAATGGTTGGAAAATGAAGAGTAATGCACAAGACGATTGACTTTTCCATTTAAAATGTCGTTACTCGGGGAACCAGTCACGTGATGACGCTACTGGTCAGCCGCTAGTGACCTAATGGTTTAGTCTCTTGTTATAAGAATGGAATAACTGCACGTTGCTCCTCAGCTCTTTAGTTTAGACAGGAGATAAGCTCCTTTGAAAAATCCTCAGTTCTCCTCACTATGAAATAAACGTTTCCGCTCTGCTTACTGGACTGGGGCAAGATGGCTCAAGTGGTTAGAGCGCAAATTCACTGACCGCAAGGTCTGTGGTTCGAACCCGACCTCTGCCTCTCGACTTCCCCTGTCTAGGCTTGGGCAACCTGGCGATATCCCAGCCCTCGTGCAACCTTCGGGTTGCATGGCAGTTAGACACCGGAAGGGTGCTACGGCTGAACGATTTTTTTTACTGGACTTCATTCTTCTGCACGTGCGATAGTGTAAGCATACGGTTTGAAATGAACGGAGTGGCTAGGCTGTGTTCCACCGGTGACAGCGGTATTTGCGTCACTTGACAGCCGGGGCTCGGTGTTGTGTTGTGCTCCGTACGCAGCTCCCTGTCGGATGGGATGCACCATCTCTGAAATCCAGTCTGACCTATGCTTTTCTTTTTGGCATGGTGGCAAAATGTAAACTCACGGAGGTATAGATGAACTTTTCTCCCGTAAAGGCACTGAAATATCTATTATGCTTGAAAATAACGCACACTCATGTGCTCGACGTCGGTCCGAAAGTGTCTGCATGACACATCTAGTATGATGTACTGAGGAGAGTTCGCACAAGAGTCCTTTTATAGTTTATCGGGCACAACTACGAAGATGAAAAACTTTCCCAAGTTTCTAGTTTTACGATGCACAGTTCGGCTAATGTACATGATTGCTCTGGTTGTAATAACCACGTCCGAGAATGGTTACTTTCCGGTATTAAATTCGACGTTAGCATGTTACGTTTCAGCTTGCTGAGAAATTTGTCGCGGTTGTTCAGCGTCACCGAATATGATAAATGTGTCATGTTCATACCGAATGTACTAGTCTACATTACCAGTTTTCTCTCTAGACCTTTTCTTCAATTATTCATGAAAATATTGTTTGTAAAGGATGACGTTGAATATGAACTGCACGTTTTTGGTACATCGCTCTAACAGGATGTGCAATCTTTCCTTGGGAATATTAGTGATAGAAAAAATGGCCGCATTTCCAATCAACGGGTTCTGGTTTAGGGATGTAGAAGTACAAAGACATTGAATGTCTAAAGAGACTAGCCGGCACTATTTTCATCTTTTATCTGCTCAACGAACTCAGCTTTTCAGCATAGATTGGCCTCGATTATAGGACGAAATCAGAATTATTCCTGCAGCTATGGTTGCAAAGATGCCGTTTGATGAATTGTTGGATTTTTCCGAGGTATTTGCTCACATTGTTTTGAGACAGGAGTAGTCGAGATGCTTGAACTAAAGAGCTTCCGGCTAGTAGGCTTGTAAATTTACCCATTTTTGTGCGAATAGGTAGGTTGTTTTACTGGGCTTGATGACTTTTATCCATTTAAGTTCTCTCAACAAAGAGGGAGAGTCCATTTGTGAGGGTCCCACCTGTTAGATACTAATAAAATAACCGTTCAGCTGTAGGTCTCTTTCGGTGCCTAGTTGCCATGCCAACCGAAGGAAGTATGAGGGCTAAGGTACTGTCAGATTGCCCAAGTTGAGACAGGAGTAGTCGAGATGCTTGAACTAAAGAGCTTCCGGCTAGTAGGCTTGTGCCTTCATCACTGACCTACCTCGATATTGCTGCATATTGGTGGTGTGCACCATTGAGAAATCGAATGAAATAAACCTTCGACTTCAATCTTGTCATTTGGTTATGTTGTGTCGATGACGGATTCACCTTAACTGAATACACGCGATGGCTACTTGCGTGAACACTGCTGAGCTTAGTGAAGATGCCTCCCTGACGTTCAGCATGTTTAGTGTAACTTGAATCTCGGCGAATAAGATAATGCCACATCTGTATTCAGCTGACGAAAGAACATTATTAGTCCCCTGTTCCAACTCACACGTTACATACCCACGAAACGATAGTCCGTGGGATTTCTGGATGTCCGCATTTGTGGGCATCAATGACAACTTCCAAGAAACTCAACTGACCTCTAGTCGCACCATCAATAAGTGGCACTCTGGCATGCCAAAGTATTTTTGGTTGTTCGGTCTATTTCATTGACAAATCAGAGCTTGCTTTGAGGCCTGACAGATCTCACCACCCAGTGGCCGCACCGATCTCGTTCGAGTTAGGCTTACTAACCCTTCACAGCATCCAACTGGGGGTGTTTTTTGGGTGCCGGTTTTCGCTTAGCCGGGGGAATACCTTGTCAAAGCAATTTTTCTATTTTTGTAATCCTTCTATTACAATTTCACACTGTATTTGTTTTCATCTCTCCACTTATTTAGAGTATGTGTGCGTGTTCGATGGAATCGGTGGTCTCAGAAGACACAGTTGGCGTAGTTTCACCTTTTCGAAAACGATGTCTACCTATTCCGTGGTGAAACGATGCCTGAAGGCCTTCCACTTAGCTGGTACGCCGGAGATCTTCAATGTATATGAGGTCAACGATCGCGGTTAGTTTTGATGTTTCCATTTTGTGTGAACTATACACAATCCCCGTTTGTCGTTTCTCTGGATGTCGCAGTTTCACTGAGCGCGATGTGCTGTGCAAAACACGCGCGCCTAGGTACACAGCGTTAATATGGTGTTGGCAGTATACCGAAGTATGGGCAGCATGAATGCGTTAATTAGCTGTAGATCGGGTGACTGTCGATTTTTTCCTTGAGCTTGGCAATTTCCTTCCAGGTGTTTCGTCAACAGTCTTCGGGACGGTGTATACTTTCTCCGACACAACTCGTGAACAGATCAATCAGAATTGCAAGGTTGTCCAACTGTTAAATTTTGTACTTACGCACACATCTTACAAGAACGTATGAGGCATATGACCTCGAAGTTTCCATCACTAGATGCGGGTTGGCGTGAATTCCAACCTGGCTGGCTCGACTGCTCTCTTTTTGGAGGCAGACTATCTCCAGCGATGCGCAAAAGTAGTGACCAACCCACTTCGCGCTTCTCTTAGAAGCACATTACTATCTTGGGGACAGTACTCCATGTGAATGCGCAGAAAATCTGCAACAGTTCCAACCAATAAATGAATGTTTTCTGTCTCTCCGATGGATACTGGCTAACAACCTAACTATGAGGTTTTGTGTTGCGGTACTGTCAGAAGTACTTTCTGGATGTCCCGTCTTAACAGTAATTACAGCAGCCAGAAAGTATCTTTTTGTTTTTGTTTGGTTTCTTGGAGGGTTAGCGTTGATTCATAACTCCGAGAAGTCCCACACGAACGGTTTTGTTTCTTGTTGAGGAAAGCACCGTACTGCCTTGGCAATACTGTAGCTTTACAGGGAAAAGCTAATGGGCTCAGTACTCAGCCCCCTCTTGGAGCAATCCTCTGAGTGCCTCGATGTTCGAACAGGAGTTATTTCATCTCCACTCTGGGGTGAGATGTTTGTACTTTTGTCTCCTGTCCGATAACGATGCGTAGGATTCAGTCTACAAAAAATCTGAATCATCAAAACTCCCTCTTCGAAAGTTTTCCCTCTACGTAGGTTTCTTGTAAAGTGAGAGTACGTGGGAATCGCAAAAATCATTGCTCCATACGAAGGGTTTCTTGGGCATAGGTTTCCTCTAGACTAGTACCGCCTTCTAGTTGAGCAAAGCCAAGTGCCTCGTATACTGTACCGTGTACGTCTGGCGAACTCTGGCGGTGAATGGAATCCAACACAAACCAATGTGGCACTTTTAACTGGAGACGAGATATTCATAACGCGGGGGTTTAATAGAACTATTAGTGTACTGTTGATGATGTCCATAATACGAATCAGAAGGTATATATGCACTAATAAGAGTTTTTAGTATAGTTGACAATAGTGAGATGTCACACGTATAAAAATGAATACAATGCAAAATGGGAGCAAGTCAAAAGAGGAACTTATCGTCTGTGAGAGTTCCTTGGTGAAAGTTCGGACGGCGGGAACGTGTTTTCTCCGCAGTTTGGCTGCTACATGTTTGTCCGTGGACTTGTGGAAAGTGGTTGACTTTCTGCTCCCCTCGCGCGCAATCACGTGTGTGTATTGGACCGAGTTGTAAGTCTATTTATTGTGTGCAGTGTGAAAAGAGGGGTGTCCCTTCGTGTTTCATGCTTACACGAACATGGATACAACTTGATTTGAAGCTCGTAAGCGTTCATGGCGCGTGACTCAAGTGGTAGTCGAGTGAACAAAAATGGGTGAGAAGTTGTAGTGTACAAGTTGTCGACTAAGGTTGTAAGTGGGACAGGAATTGTCACGTGGCTTGAGTGTTTGTGACGCGTGATCTGATGAGTGGCCTCTACGAATATTCTCCCCTTAATGAAGGAGAGAAGTAGGTGCTGATGAGATGGTAGCTGATGCTCGTGGTTGTGAGGTAAACAAAATAATAGTCTATGTGGATGTACTAATAAAATTAGTTCCAGGGGTAAGTAGACAGGAGGGTAGCCGCTACAGAACCAGTACACTTTTTTACGACGCCTAGTCATTTCACGTCCAATGGAGCTGTCGTGAATGTTTCTAATGCAGTGGCTAATTGTGACTGAACTAGTTGCCCATAATCTGCTTGAGTCGTTGCACGGTAGCCGTGTCGCGGCTTGTAGATCCGATTAATGATTGCCAGTAATGACTAGTCTTTTCCCTCACTGAGTCAATTTAGTCTCCGTAGCTCCTGTCCACGATGTGCCTGTTTGTGGGCTGTATAGTCAGTCTTGTTACATGTGGCTTTCCATAAACGAAACCACGCAATCTCGTATATCCACCCACGGTTTATTTCTGCAAATTTTGTTGTCGCCTCCGTTTTTTTTTAAAAATTCCGCCCCAAATGCTTCTCCGAACGGGAGAACGTCATGTGAGGTAATCAGGTCCTATCCTTGTCATCCATCATCCTTGTTTTCATTATCACCAATCAGTACTATCGATTCTTTTCTGGGAATGATACGGATGCATTGATTAATATGTACTGTTTTGCAGTGACTGAGAATGATTGATTTCTAATCATCTCCCGCTAATGCGGACACTGTTCATTGAACATTCATCCGCAATCTGTGATAGTTTTGACAGAAAACACATAAATCTTTTTAGTGAAACTTGATGGGGCGGAGATATGTCATCCATAGTCACCTGCCTTTTCCATAATAAATGGTAATAAAACCCTTCAGAGGCACTGTTTATAACATTAGTTAAAAATTTACCACTGATTCCACCCTTCTCGGGGCTCATGGCGTATGACCCGGATTTCCATCAATCTCATGTTGTAGTTTACTACCACGCTTGAAATCCTGTTTTGCGAATTTTCAAACCCCTAATTTCTCACTCATTAACCCATCTTTCGGAAACCCAGGATTCCGTTTACCGCCCTTTATTCAGTTTCCAATTGTTGCTCACCACAAATCTATCTTGATGGAACAAATTAAGAGTGAGGTTTTCAAAAATTCCAATCATTCACTGATATTCTTCCGTTTCGGTTCGCTTTTTCGTCTAACCCAGACGGACGTGAAAACAAGTTGAACACGAATGTGAATTTTCGCAGTCAACTTCTGTTTGATGCGAAACAGCCCTCCATCGTTTTGCGTGTGAAAGAACCAGAAGAAACGGAAATGTTGATCAAAGTATACGCAGGGGATTTGAGGTGAGAACTATGTCGTTTGTTGGTTTTGACCCACGCTCTTTGTTTGCCTGTCCGTTTTTGAGCACTTGGTCCAATAGATTCCGGACACTTCAGATCATCGTACGAACATAAATCGACCATGAGTCGACCCAACTGTGGTGCAGTTAAGTTGTTTTTGAACATCTACTTGATTTGCCAGCTGAGGCGAAGCTTCCACACTAACGGTGTTCGGTCAACCGACGGCCTCAAGTATATTAAATTCGTTGCAAACTACACGCACACGCACACTGGGTTGGCACCTGGAACTTACCTGACTATCGACTTTCACACCGGTAATTTTGTACCGATCCTCCTTTTGAAGCTGTCCGGGATAAATCGGAATTCGAACTAGGGGATCATTCGGTTTGGTCTGTTTGGTAGGTGTCGCGATGATGCTACTAATACTAATACTCTTCTATTACAGTAACTTAACACCGAGACGAGATGGCTCAAGTGGTTAGAGGGTGAATTTACTGGCCAGAAGGTCCGTGGTTCGAACCTGATATCTGCCTCTCGACTTCCCCTGTCTAGGCTTGGACAACCTGGCAGTACCTCAGCCCTCGTTCTTCCTTCGGGTTGTATGGCAGCTAGGCACCGGAAGGGTGTTACAGCTGAGCGATTTAATTTTTTTTTAATCTTTAACTTAACACTTCACTGCGCGTCTTATCCAAATCACCCGGGGTCTGAATCAGTTTCTGAATCTGCTTCTTCCGTCGAACTATGTCGCGCGCAGGATCGATAATACCACATTCAGTCTGTGCTCAGTCGTATGTTTTACTATCGGAACACATTTTCGTCGGTATAAACCCAAGACACTAGAGCTGAATGGCGAACAGAACGCACACAGTCAGACCCAACTGTTTTTTCCGGGTAGTACTGAAGAGTTGTATACAGCGATCCGTTTTTTATCGGCTGTTTAAACTGGTTTTAGGATTAGCGCTTTGTTCGCAAGAGGGGTCCACACTGTAAAACGAATCTGGCATACCAAAGTTCTCTCTCTGAGAGTTATTTTTTGTTTGGTAGTTTCCCTTAAGTAGAAGTGGTGTATCAAAGTGGCCTGAAACCGAATGGATTCTGATTAAAAATGTGCACGCCTGTCTTCGCTGAAAGATGAATCACAGAAAAGGCAAGCATCTGGCCTCTCCTAGGCAAGTGGTGACATTGCGGTGATTAAAGACTAGTACATCAATTGATGATGGTTATCTGCACAGAGTATACAGTACTCTTCGACAGGATGCGAACATCTTTGTATTACTTTCTCCTTTTCACCTGTTTCTTTGGTACAGGTGGCTGGATAGTGACTGCGTCCAGCAATCGGGTGGATCACGTCGCTTCACGCGCAAACCCTTAAAAGCCGAATCGTTCAAAATAGGGTTTATCAAAAGATGCGATACTATGAGTACAGTAATAAAATAATAAAATTGTACAAATCTCAAATGGTGGGCCCATACCAAGTTCTATACACCAAGTTAATTAATCCAGGTTCCGAAAGGATAGCACACGATACGTCTGCCCTACGTTCACACCGAGTCAAGGGAAAAAGGCCACCAGGTGGCCATTGGTTTGTTCGCTGAGCTGGATAATTTGAATGCAAACGTTTCATCACCAATCGAGGTGACATCGTCAGTGCGTTGTTGTGAGGCGTGGTGGTGCGTGGTGACGGGTTGGTGGTTGTGTCAACCACCGGTTGGCATCTACGCTACCTGAGCTACCGAAATTTTCGTCTATGGAGGGTCACAAGGTGACGTGGTTGTATTGATCCAGATGCGTGATGTCAGGTCAAAAACCTCAGGAGAGGTGTAGACACGCGAACAAAAAGTGAGGGATCTCCTTGTATAGAATAAGAATAGAAGAAAAGAATCAACACCCCACCCCCCAATCTTCACTAGTCTATTCACTCACCGTGCGTAGCGAAAATGGTTTGATTGCACCAACCACAAACATGTACCTTAATTCACAACAAACACCTGGGGTGGGTGAGCATCGGATAGTCATCTGCTTCCTTCAGCAGGCATATGCGACGGATATCACGCCTAACGACGGATATCATGCAGTGCTCACTAACACCCATCGAACGTGGGCTTGACCTCCACTATAATGCCCTTCACACGGCGGCCATGACTTGGATTCTCCACGTTGAGTCTCCAACTTTAAGGTTCCGATAGTTTCGCATCCGCTTATGCCGCAAAAATGACGTATGCTGTTGAGTAAAACCTTATGGTAGAAAGAGAACTAGCAGAGAAAGGAGACCTAGGTCTAGCCTACCACAAACATCCAAGTTACCGACAACTCCAACGGTTTGTCAGACAATCTGGATTGAAACTGAAAGCCTGAACTTTGCTGACCTAGGTTAACCATCTTGTCGTTCAGTGTCTCCGACCGATTATACAAAGTCGCATACGTCTCATCCTGGAAGACGGACCGCGTAGACAGCCCCCAAGCTTCTGCTAATCTCCTTCATTCCCTTCTCCCACATTGCATTCTGTCCCCCTCCAGGTTTCCGCCACTCTGAACTAGGCACTGAATGCAGCATCAATCTTGTCTTGCATAACACGTGACTCAGTTACCTTAGCTTGGAGTGTTGGATGCTATCTTTGGGCGAAGTATTAGCTGCTTCACCAAAACCCGTCTTGTGATCACCTAGTGGCGAATCCGCTGATTCCAGCGATGGATCTGAGACATCGGTCGTCACGGCGGCCATGACTTGGATTCTCCACGTTGAGTCTCCAACTTTAAAGTTCCGATAGTTTCGCATCCGCTTATGCCGCAAAAATGACGTATGCTGTTGAGTAAAACCTTATGGTAGAAAGAGAACTAGCAGAGAAAGGAGACCTAGGTCTAGCCTACCACAAACATCCAAGTTACCGACAACTCCAACGGTTTGTCAGACAATCTGGATTGAAACTGAAAGCCTGAACTTTGCTGACCTAGGTTAACCATCTTGTCGTTCAGTGTCTCCGACCGATTATACAAAGTCGCATACGTCTCATCCTGGAAGACGGACCGCGTAGACAGCCCCCAAGCTTCTGCTAATCTCCTTCATTCCCTTCTCCCACATTGCATTCTGTCCCCCTCCAGGTTTCCGCCACTCTGAACTAGGCACTGAATGCAGCATCAATGGAATGCAGCATAACACGTGACTCAGTTACCTTAGCTTGGAGTGTTGGATGCTATCTTTGGGCGAAGTATTAGCTGCTTCACCAAAACCCGTCTTGTGATCACCTAGTGGCGAATCCGCTGATTCCAGCGATGGATCTGAGACATCGGTCGTAAAAGCCCTGAAGGTGTCTCAGACCCTGCGCTCGAAGTGGCCAAGTCTCGCAGTCAGTCCTGTGAGACCCAGTTGGATGCCTGTTTGATTCCACAAGTGTCTCAAATTGGCAAAATGTACCCTGGCCTTTGAGATTCGTGTCACACTACCGTATAGCGTTCTACAGCAGTCATGTTTTAAAGACTGCAGTATGAATTCGCAATTTATGAGCTCGAAGCATGTCCCGAAGGATCTTAACATCGGGATTTCAAGGACGCTTCAGTGTTCATCAGTGACAAAAATAATGGGGAGAGTGGGCACCCTTGTCGGACAACACAGGTGTGCGAATACAAACAACGCATGATATTCACGAAGTTCTGCATGCAGTCCTGTTGCCCAAGCGTGTTTAGAAGAAACAACCGGCCCGCAAAATCCAACGCACACTTGAATCCAAAAAACACCAAGATTGTAGGGTGCGTATACGCATATTGTTGCTCTAGCAATTGGTGGAGTGTGAAGATATGGTCAGCATAGCCTCTTCCAAACAGGAGTCCTGCTTGCTGTTCTCGGATCCCGCCTTCACACGACTTTGCAAGACGACGCAAAATAAGGAACGCAAAGAGTCTAGTTACGACATTTAAGCTTACTGCACGAAATAACTTGGCCAGGATGCGAAACGTTCAGGAAGCTTTAAAAAGTGAACTTCCTTAGTGGATACACGAAAAATCAATTAGTTTCTTCCTCACATCCTTATGTTTAATGTCAGACTGGCTTGGGATAATGGCAATTGGGTGTTGGGACGTACCTCCGCACTTACACGTGACTCAGTTACCTTAGCTTGGAGTGTTGGATGCTATCTTTGGGCGAAGTATTAGCTGCTTCACCAAAACCCGTCTTGTGATCACCTAGTGGCGAATCCGCTGATTCCAGCGATGGATCTGAGACATCGGTCGTAAAAGCCCTGAAGGTGTCTCAGACCCTGCGCTCGAAGTGGCCAAGTCTCGCAGTCAGTCCTGTGAGACCCAGTTGGATGCCTGTTTGATTCCACAAGTGTCTCAAATTGGCAAAATGTATCCTGGCCTTTGAGATTCGTGTCACACTACCGTATAGCGTTCTACAGCAGTCATGTTTTAAAGACTGCAGTATGAATTCACAATTTATGAGCTCGAAGCATGTCCCGAAGGACTGGATGACTTTGGTCAGCTTTCCTAGGGATGTTTGCACTTCTCACTTTTGAAAAATAAAAACAGTATTGTCTGGATATTCCAGGTCCACAAGATTCTTGCTCGCATAGATCTTTATATCGGGATTTCAAGGGCGCTTCAGTGTTCATCAGTGACAAAAATAATGGGAAGAGTGGGCACCCTTGTCGGACAACACAGGTGTGCGAATACAAACAACGCATGATATTCACGAAGTTCTGCAGCATATCCTGTTGCCCAAGCGTGTTTAGAAGAAACAACCGGCCCGCAAAATCCAACGCACACTTGAATCCAAAAAACACCAAGATTGTAGGGTGCGTATACGCATATTGTTGCTCTAGCAATTGGTGGAGTGTGAAGATATGGTCAGCATAGCCTCTTCCAAACAGGAGTCCTGCTTGCTGTTCTCGGATCCCGCCTTCACACGACTTTGCAAGACGACGCAAAATAAGGAACGCAAAGAGTCTAGTTACGACATTTAAGCTTACTGCACGAAATAACTTGGCCAGGATGCGAAACGTTCAGGAAGCTTTAAAAAGTGAACTTCCTTAGTGGATACACGAAAAATCAATTAGTTTCTTCCTCACATCCTTATGTTTAATGTCAGACTGGCTTGGGATAATGGCAATTGGGTGTTGGGACGTACCTCCGCACTTAAGGACTTTTTGGATGCCCCTCCCCCACTACTGGCTTTACTGTGCTCCACAAATCAGCCACAAAAGGCTGTCTGGCCTTTTATCCTATAACAAACTAATCCCACTAATCATCATTTCAGTATCCACACTGCCCCATTCTGCTTAGATTGTTTGTGTGTATGTATGAAACGTCGTATGCCAATCCCTACCACGGTTGCGGAATCTCTTCTTACTCACAAGCAAACACGAGTGACTGACTTTTCTTACCGTAACTCAACCAACCGGCCAATCCTCTGGTTCGTCAGGTACGGGGAAAGCGGGGGTGGGACGTTGTAAATTCACAATTTCTGAGGATTCAGACCTCCGATGTCACATGACCCCTCATTTTCTTACCGTACTACATTTCATGTGGTTAATGGACAGCTCATTTCGGTGAGCTAAGTGTGGTTTGACGTCTTTCTTTTTCGAATCGAATGGGACAGCAGTCAAACCGAGCTTCCTGTTTGAACGTGTGCTTCTAATTGCTTGTTCTATTTTCGGTAGGCCCCAAGTTCATTTTCCAGTTCAGTCAGATACTGGACAGAATTTCTCGGCGAGAACTCCACTGGGATCATCAACTAGTAGCAATATCTTTCAATAGCTTTACCCAAACCTAGAAAGGACATCATCATCATTATTCTGAAAGTCGAGCAGCACTGGCGCCACACAGGCTGTTTCTTACTTCCCACATGTTTTTTACTCGGTTGCAGTTTGTTCGCTTTGTCACCTATATGTAGGCGTGGAAAGCAACGCTGTTCTTCCTAGGCGATGGATTGATTTGCTGCGATTATGAACAAGCCGTCAGAATGTATTTGTCAGAAACACCTACTACACATTCAGAAAACCATTTTATAGTTTCCTCGTCGCGAATACATTGACTCCTAACCGAGACTCGGGGTATGGTTTTCTAGTACTTGAGGAGGCTTCGTCTAGCTGAAGTGCGACGAAACTGCCCACACTGTGAATTTGTATGTACGCTGTGAAGTTTTCCCTCCACAATTATGATAGACGGACCTTCGAGACTACCACAGGAAATAATCGGCCTTCCAAGACCAATAAAATGCTCTACGACCTCTGGCCTCTCCCTGCATTGAATTGCTGCACATCGCTACTTTTTCATGCAACCCCCTTACTGATGCCTGGGATAGGTAGTCCGCTCCGTTGGGACTGTTTGTACTTCTTCGATTTGCAGAGTCAGAAGAATGTCATCCACACACACATGCCATGAGGTATGTGTACTCGAGTGCCGATTTTTCCATGATAAGCCTAGTGCGGAGAAAGGCAAATATTCAGCCGAAAGTTTTAACCCTCCAGTATGCAGTCTGAGGATGTAAGGTGGGAACCTTGGCACGAATACCCTTTGGGAAGAGCCAGTATATCCCAATTCCAAATATGTAGATATCCATTACAGTTCTCTTGAAATCTGCACTAATTGTGTCCTTACGGTTTTAAGGTAGCATCGATTTCCCCCAGTTTTTATGTTCCTCTTTCTACATCAGTTGATGGACGTTTTTTCCCTCTCAATTCAGAAACATTCTTCCTCCAAATGCATCGGATTACGAGGAAGTTTGGATTGACCCAAGTACAACTAGTGCTGACTGTCTGAACACAGCGTTGGAGAAGTTTGGCTGTGGGGTGAGTGATCTGGTTTGCTTAACTTTTCGTGGCATTTGGCGATATGAGCGCAAGCTGTTCTGGGTTAAACGGGTACCATATACCCTCTTTTCTTTTCCCTCATTTTTCAATCTATGATTAGTGAATTGTCAAATCAGCTATTTATTCATTAATTCACTCCCTCACTCATTCACGTGCCTGATGTACCTTCTGGATTGACAGATTTATATCTAATTCTCAAAACGCCCAATGAATGTCGTAGCGTCCGGAACACTAGATTAATAAGCTACCAATGAGCATGCAAATGAATTAGGCGTCGTGTGCATCCTATGGACGTAGGACTGAAAAATCAATCCTCACCATAGTGCAGTATGAACCCAGGCGACATGCTTCGGCCATTTTCGTTACAGTCGCTTATCCATTCACCATCCAGATACATTTCTAATTATTTGCCACCTTGGAACCATGGTTGCTGTGATGCAACAACCATCAATCTATGTATGCTTTCAGTACATAGTGAGGGATCATCCACAGTAAGATTTGCGAGCCTGAAGCAGTACGCTTCAAATAATGGGGAAGCTACTCAACAGTAGGAAGTAGTTCAAAAATACAGCCAGAAGAACATAATTACATTTATATCTTTGTAATGTACTACTCATAAGGTTGCTGAAAATCCGTCGACAGCCCACGACCGGTTTCGCCCTTTTTGAGGCTCATCAAGAAACACTTGGACACCATGAAAACGACGCATAGGTAATTGCTTGTGTTACTTTAGGGATGTAGTTCACACAAAAGATCGAAATTGCCGGTTATATCACTCAAAGTCCGGATTTCGCATGGGTTCAGGCAAGCGAATCTCGGTGGTAATCACATGGTGGCTAGACATACTGTTCCACTCGTGTGCGGTTTATGTCTGACAATAATGAGGTTGTGCACGCTGATTCTCGGTTCTGTAGGCTGTTAAAAGTAGGTGTTGCTCTTGCCTACTAAAGTTCGAAGATACTGAATGCACAAATGTGTAGTTTTTCCCAACATCTGTAGTCCGCTAAGACCATTGTGATTTACGGGTACCTATTTTAAGACGAAGATCTAATGGAGTCCGATTTCTCACATAGCGACCCCCCTAATTGGAGAGAGAATTCTCATCGAAAAGTTCATTCGAGTCAATCGCTGAGAGGATGAGTACGCGGAAGGTCTTGATATCACTTTTGATATATCCAGCATTCAGATGATAGGTGTGAGAGGCTTGGCACACAAGGTCGGATGGACAGACGGGCACATTGCCGCGAGATCACCCCCCCTCTGCACTGAAAGTCGAAAAATCAGCGCAACTTTTCCATTTGTCAGGTATCCCTTCCACACCATTTAACTGAAAGTCGAAAAATCAGCGCAACTTTTCCATTTGTCAGGTATCCCTTCCACACCATTTAACTGAAAGTCGAAAAATCAGCGCAACTTTTCCATTTGTCAGGTATCCCTTCCACACCATTTAACTGAAAGTCGAAAAATCAGCGCAACTTTTCCATTTGTCAGGTATCCCTTCCACACCATTTAACTGAAAGTCGAAAAATCAGCGCAACTTTTCCATTTGTCAGGTATCCCTTCCACACCATTTAACTGAAAGTCGAAAAATCAGCGCAACTTTTCCATTTGTCAGGTATCCCTTCCACACCATTTAACTGAAAGTCGAAAAATCAGCGCAACTTTTCCATTTGTCAGGTATCCCTTCCACACCATTTAACTGAAAGTCGAAAAATCAGCGCAACTTTTCCATTTGTCAGGTATCCCTTCCACACCATTTAACTGTTCAAAGTGCTGTGTAGAGCGATGACCGGGAATTTTTTCGAGGCTTTTTCAAGCGTTCCGACCAGCGAACGTCTTTGGCTAGTACACGTGTTTGACTCTCATGCCGGAGACGTCAACAAAACCGCTGTGTGTGAACGCTACGCAATCGGTTGTCTTCGAAACGCGTTCACCTTTCACGCGTTTATTGATCATCTTAAACAGAGTAAAAGCGCGTCTGACGGGGCCAGTACAAACGCCCTGGCTACGCATATATCTCCAGCGCCAGTTAAAACTTGGCAGTTGGAGAACAGCGAAAAATTTGAAAAGACACTCAAAATTCTAGTAGTTCCTACTTGCTTCCCTAAGATCCTTTCGGTGGTGATCGCTGCTCTACATTGATGGGACCAGGGCATCAGCGGAGCAACAGCACCCAATCAATGAACTCTCCCTTTTACTTTCATTAATAGCACCTCGGATCCGACGACTGTTATTTGAGCAGCGTATGTATGGACCGACAAGTTTACGAACGAAGGCTGGCTGACGATGAACTACTCGTTCCGTTCTTTAGCCAACTTCGTCAAGAATCTGCTCGCACCTCCCAACTCACTCGTCTAGAGCTGCGCTTCGTTGTGGACGATGCTGCCGGGTCGCATGCGGTTTCTTTGTTTGTGGGAAATTTAAAGGAGAATCTCTCACAACGACTGTACGAATGCATATTGTTGGAGAAATTGGGCGAGGAATATCGGTGGGATACGATTGATGCCATATATTACGAGAGTGGCTGTCTGGTGCTTACCTACAGAGCGAGTGAGAAGGCGGAGCGAGCGTACGACTTGTTGAAGGTAAGGTCTCGTTTTGTCTTCTGTCAGACCCCCACCCGATTTGTTCTTCGCATGCGCCGAAATGGTCACAGCTGAATGATCATGATTAATTTTCATTATATCGAATGCATTTTTTTATGTCCAGGCAGTCCTCTCTAGGTTTGCTCTACCTGAGTGTATTTTTGAGCTTCTGCCTCCTTCCAATGTGATGGCGGTGAAATGGATCAAGTGGTTAGAGTGCGAATTTACTCACCGGAAGGTTCGTGGTTCGAACCTGACCTCTGTCTCTCGACTTCCCCTGTCTAGACTTGGGTGACCTGGCAGTATCCCAGCCCTCGTACAACCTTCGTGTGGCATGGCACCTAGGCACCGAAAGGGTGCTACAACTGAACGAATGTGATGGCAGTTGTGCATCAAAGTGACCAATTCGGTGTTCCCGGAAAACATCTCGGGTTCTCAAGTTCACAGTTACTCAGGTAGCAACCCGCACTGTTATTCAATGGTGACTAGCAGTCTACCATGACGGGGGTAACCTACGTATTCGGTCACCATGTGGAAACTAACTTCCGTTTCCGTTCCGACCATTCCAATTTCCCTCATCCCGCATTCCAAACACGTTTGTTTTGTCGTCTTGGCTATTGGTTGACTGTCTCATTTGTTAGTACCTGGTTGTTATCTATGCAATATGTAAACAAGGCTTTAGTGTCGCTGCTTCACAAAGTCTGTGATTGATAAACATCAATAACAACTCTCTTTTTTTCATCAACACCTTTGTTTCGGACTTGATTTGTCCCCATAAGCACCACGTCTTGGCACCCACAGTGATATTAGCGTCTTTACCCCACTGTCTGAGGAATCAGTGCGTCAGTGCACTACTTGATGTATGGATCGTTCCACGGGTCTGCCAAACGATCTGTAAATAGGGTGTCCAAGCAGGTAAGTTTCTGTTCGCCGGACAAGTTGTCACAGTACCGACCCGGCGCAGTCCGTTCCAGAGGCTTCCGCCATTGCCATAAGTTCTCAACTGGATGCTTCACTTTAAAAGGCCGAATGGTATTCAGCAAAAGAAATTCACCGGCAAAGACTGACCAGACGAGAGAGAGCACAAAAACACAAATTATAGACAACGTTGGACTAGATTCACAGCCCATTCTTTTTATCTCTAAGTGTTCGAATTTCTCTTTTCCACATCTGAAGTATGATCTGTTTCGATTACATGAGATTTTGGAATGTGAGGGTTTTCTGCTGTTATTTCTGGACACATTGCAGCTCCCTTTCTAACCCTACCGGGCGTTTGTAAACATCTATCGTGTCTCTGCCTAGTACGATTGTCTCTCCAATACGACCGCAATAGATTGTTCCTCAGAGTTCAAGACTCATGTTCGAACAACTCAAGTTGTAATGCATTGTATAATTGCTCGTACTTTTGGCAAAGCAGCCACCCACATCTGCTTTTTTTAATCCCCATTTCAGGATGCTATGTTGATGGACAAGCAGCTGACCGCATTGTTGCTGCCCACAATACACCCGAGGCATCTTCCAGAGGGAGTACAACCACTTCTGGTCTTTGTCAATCTCAAATCTGGTGGCTGTCAGGGTCTGGATTTGATTGTTGCGTTTCGCCGTCTACTTAATCCCTTCCAGGTGTGACCTCTGTTTTTCTCTTTTTTTTGCTGCTAATGTCGTTGCCATTATCGACCTTTTTACCGTGTCAAATTTCTCCTACCGGTTTGTTCTTACACAGGTTGGATAGTTAGTACTTGAGCAACTCGGTAGGTTCCCAGTTTGACAAGCCCGGACAATTAATTTGAACCGCTTTCCATCCCCCCTTCGTGAGCATTAGTCAGAATTACTTTTTCCCCTGTACTGCATGTCGACCACCGTCCATGTTTTGTTTCGTCCTTTACTTTTCGCTTAGGCAAGTGGATCTTTAGCCGTAATTGAGTGTTAGTCAAACGGAACTCATTCATATGTAGGGCATGTGTAAACTAATGCCCGTTGAACACGTCTCAAAACTGCAGTTTGACATGTCTCCGACGACTATCTAAGATTTTGCTAACTAGCTCGTGGACCCCGGTGGTCGTGTTATCCGGGGCAAACGAAAGCTGAAATTCACTCTAGCATGCCGATGGTTTCTGCAGTCTTCCTTTTCACACACGCTTGACTCCTGCGCATGAACTCACTCTTTCCCGCTTTATTCCACCNCACTTCGCTCCTCAACTCTGAGTCTTGCGTCATAAAACTGACGGGATGTGGGATAGCCCGAAGGATAACTGATTAGCTGAGTCTTGACTGTCTGGGCAGCGCCAGCGATGCGTCCAGTACACATCGCTAGCGTGACCTTGATTACAACCTACTTTTGTTTGACTTGGCTTTTTTGGAAACCGCTAGAAAGTTTCGAACTTGCTTTTCATCGCACTGAACTTTCCATCGTGGCGTGTCTGTATCTTGTGCGTGTGTGTGAGCCACGGTACCACAGGGTGAGCACTGGAAGTGGTACTTAACGGCCCCCATGTAGCTGCGAAAAGGGCACCGTGGAACAAACACTGAGTGAGGTTACGAGTGACGCTCACACAATTTCCTCACAAAACAGGACTAATGCCTTGATATCCATGTTTTCTACATGCCATTGTATTCCTGGTGGATGATTCTGGCGGTCAAGGTGAGAAATACACGGGAGTTTTCGGTGAAACACTACCCACACAGCTCCAAATACATTTTTGTGCGTCTTCGAGTTGGACAGTCCCTCCTCCCACTGCCAAGTAAGTCGGACTTTCGGTTCCGAATCCATGGCCTTGTGGATCGCATGGTTGAGTGATAGACTAATCCACGTTTTCAGCCTGAGAAAAAGGTACAGAAACAGCCGATAGCCTCTCCCACTCATCGGCTTTATGCACTTTTTTCATGCCAACTCTGTCTTTCTAACGCTTGTGTTGAGATGCCAGTATTTCAGTTCTTGAACTCAGTCATGTGTCCATCAGTCACTTCCACTGAACCGGTGATCCGCGAACCTGATTCTTTTTTCCGAACTGACTGGCTGGGAGGAAGAGCAACTTCGCATTATTTTGTAGTCGACTGTTACCTTGTGTAGTATGTATGAGCATGGTTTTGACATGGGAGCTCTAACGAATCAGAAACCAAGATCTTCCCATTTATCGGCTTGCTTGATGATATCTTCAGGTGTTCAACTTGGACTACGGTGGTCCCCTCCCCGGGCTCTACTGCTTTCGACACTTGTCTTCGTACAAAATCCTTATATGTGGCGGAGATGGAACCGTTGGCTGGACCTTGTCCTGTTTGGATATTGTCGGCCAGGATGCCGCGTGCAATTCTCCACCGATCGCTCCATTACCGCTAGGTACTGGGAACGATTTGGCTCGAGTACTGAGGTGGGGTTCTGGCTACTCCTCCACGGAAGACCCGTTGAGCATACTAAAAGATGTGGTTGCGGCGGAGGAGGTCCAATTAGATCGGTACGTGTTGACTAAATCACTGTTTAATGAATCGGATGTACAGTAATTCACCTTCGAAGGACTTTTGGCGCATGCCAAACCATCAACATGGTAGATTTGCCTTTTCGTGTGAAGCTGTAGACCGTATCAGCTTACGCAAATTTTTAATTGTCTGCGAACAAGATTTGTGTTGGATGAATTACTGATTGATCACGTGACTGTTGATCTGTTAGCCGAGCTTGTATGCGTCGCCTCATCTCATGTTCGAGCAGCATTACTGCTGCTTGTTGCAAGACGAATGCTCTGTACCTATCGTCGACCAATTTATGAGCCACGCCCAATCAGAACTAGTCTCCTTTTTTGGTATCAGCGGTGCGTAAATTATTCACGATCTATCGTGACAATCGACCCGTTGAATCCGAACTAATGGACTAGGACATTTTCAACTTGTTGATCCCCTTAGGGTGTTGTTTTTTTGTTGAACTGTTTGCAGTGCGACAAATTCTGTGGCGCCCTAAATTACCTGATCTGTTGGAGTGGACAGTGATCAGTGTTTTCAGTCGTTAATCGTTGTGGGTAGTGCGGGGGTGTATCTGTAGCTTGTGTTGTACTGTTATGAATCGAGGCATGCATTGAAAATGAAATATGAAAAATGAAAAATTGATATATGCAAGCTATTAACAGTGTTTACGGTAAAGCTAACCAAATAAAGGGAGAAAACCTGACGCGATTTGCTTTTGTCCAAGTTTATGCGCATTAATCAATATGTGGCGTCGATACTCGATGCTAAAATATCGTAAGTTGATTTGCTAAGAGAATACGCTAACAAAGACGGGAGAAGTTTTGCTCAACAAGATTTGGTTAAACCTATCAAACTCTCGGCCTATCGAGGGGGCGCTTCTATTTTAAAGAAGGATGGGGTTACAGAAGTCAGAGGGTATAGTGGGATCTACATTTTAAAGCTGATTTGATGCAGTTAGCATTCGTGCCATCGAACAAAGTTAGTGCAGATGCACGCATCTTTTGGTGAGATCAAACTCATTTCGGGCAAAAAAGCACTTCGATTTCGCCTGGCGAGACACATCATTAATAAGGTTGCTGAAAAATCCTTCCACGGGGGGGGGGGCGAGATGGACCAAGGGGTTAGAGCGCAAATTTACTGCTTCTCGACTTCCCCTGTCTAGGCTTGGGCAACCTGGCAGTGTCCCAGCCCTCGTGCCTCCATCGTGTGGCGTTGCAGCTAGGCACCGAAAGGGTGCTACAGCTGAGTGATTGTATTCCGTCAAGGAAATGTAGTGCAGTGCGTTGAATATCGTACCAACTGAAACATGGGACAACCTTTGTGTAGCACTTTCAGTTGAAAACTACCATAAACGAGGGTATCATTTGAGTCTCTTGGTAGCACCAATGTAACTTGCAGTAAATGGGGTCAACCAGACCAGTGCAGGGTGTGAAATTGGTTACATAGGTTGGGAACTATACTTTAAAAGTTGGAGTTGAGTGAGGAATTATCATATGACGTGGCTATGGTATCAGTTGCGGAGCTTTAAACAGCATAACACCATCTTAACTGATAGATCGTGTATAGACGGATCTGTGTGTGAAAGGTAACGAGGTTCGATGATTGAGCTCCAGATAGTTCAGGGGTGAATGTGCAACTTACTGACCACAAGATCCGTGGTTCGGACCCGACCCCTTGTCTAGGGTAGGCAACATGGCAGTAGCTCGTGAGCTACAGTTCAACGCTTGTTATTTATTATTATTGGGGGCGATGAAATTGGAAAGGATTCTTCCAGCGCACCCGCTGAGACTTAGGAAGCAATCTATAATTTAACAGAATTTGGGATACACTCAAATGCTCAATGCTGGAAAACGAATTTGGCAGACGGTACCTAGTCTGATTGAGGAAAAGCAAGGGAACCTCCACCTCAGCTCATGAAAGCTGTGGAAGAACAACGAAGGAATAGAAATTGAACTGTTATCACACTATCCAGGCACGACTGCTACCAAGTGAGTATTGAAAGGCGGCATTGAACCAGCCGTAAATCATCAGTCCGGCTAAAAATCAACTTGATATTTATAGATGGATTTATAGGAGGATGAACGTTTTCGAGACAAAGTTTGTAAGCGAATTGTAAGCTTTAGATAACTCGGTGGTTAAGGCATGAACTTATTGACTGAAAGGTTTGTGGTTCAAACTCACTCGCGACATCTCCACCACCCCTATCCGGGAACTCGGTGGTTAAGGCACGAACTTATTGACTGAAAGGTTTGTGGTTCAAACTCACTCGCGACATCTCCACCACCCCTATCCGGGCCTGGGCAACGCGGTAATAGTTCGGTTCTCGAGCTTCCATCCGGTGGCGTGTCAACTGGGTATCCAAAATGTATTACAACTGAACGATTATTTTAATATATTTTCATATCTGTGATGGCAGACACCTATAGTACTATTACTCGGCGACTCACAACGCCGGTTGGATTGGAGGGATGAATTTTCGGGGAAACAACAGTCTCATTTCAAAGTATGATGAGACGACGAAACAATATGAAATGGAAGTCAATTGACAAATTGTGCGAATGAGAGTTGAACAATGATCCCCACATTCATATCGAGTTTGTTGTTATGCCACTTGAATCGTGTACTTAGTTGTATCACTACTGTAGGGAGTGGTTTTTATGTCCGGGTTGGGGGACAGGACACCTACGTCATATATATTCACGGGTACAAGGAGAATTGTATGGGTGGTACATAGATCAACTACTTTATGTCATACAAGTTGGATTCACTTGTCAACTGGGAAGATGCATACCGGCATGCGACCTACAAGAAGCACTAGGGCGATCCAAGCGTGATCTGAACTTAAATCCCTATCCCTCACCTTGATACTGGTCTTGCAGCGCTTGTTTGTCGTCGTCATTATCATCACTGTCTCTAGGCCACTCCTTTATGGTCTTAAACCTACAATCAACCTTTTTTCCTGTCCCACCTCTGTCCCCACTGAGCAGTTGGACATTTGTTGTTCGGCCTGCTGAGGAGTTCAAAGACGAGACCAAGTTGGCACTGGAAACCCAAAACAATGCACCCACAACAAACGAGGAGAATTCAATCATGATCATCATGAACAGCTATTTTGGCATAGGCATCGATGCCGATCTCTCATTGGATTTTCACAATGCACGATCGGAAAATCCGTCTAAGTTTAATAGTCGGTATGTGCTGTCGAACATCATTCTTTTGCTTTCCATTTTTTTCTGTCGGTTGGCGTGCCTCATTTTCTTGCTGGTATACAGTCCTGTTGAACCTACTGAGTTGCGATTGTAAGTCAACGTTAAACGAGAAACGTGCGACTTCAAAACCTATGGCGTGATAGCCCATTTGAAATTCAACATGTCCTGTTCAGCTCATCTCAGCCGACATAACATGCCACCTTAAAACGTTATCTCTCTAGTACAATTTCAAAAATGCCAAGCGAAACAGATCGTTTTAAAGATGGGGATCGACGGATAACTCGGATAGCCCAGTGCACAACTACACGGAGGGGGATCGTTGTTGGGGGGTTGTTATATCATAAAATGGAGCATCATTTTTGTAGATAATACATGGATTCCGGTTTTTTCTACTCGGCCGACTTCCATGATGTGTATAAAAATCACCTCTAAGCGCCGACAGACGGTTGCCGAGGTCACTGTGGAATTGAAAAATTTGAGGCACCGTGAGTTGTTGGTTCAGATATTACAGTAAACTAACCTGAACACCGCTAAAACTGTTGAGCGGAATTCTGTACCGATACCGCTTTACTGCTCGCATTTAGACACTGCGACGGCCAATAAGTCTGTCTCACACGTGATCGCCCAGAATGTCGGGCCAATTGCCGATCCAGCATCCAGCCGAGCTCAGATTGGCCGACCTGGTGGACCCTACAGCCAGTCGTAATCTAGTGACCGCCGGATGCAGACTGCCATTAGCGCAGAAGGCGTCAGGATTTCCATAATGCTTTCGCTCCATATAATTTATATACGCGATGCGTCGCACGTGTTTTTTTTTACCTGGATTTGGGTGTTAATGCACGTTGTGCACCTTTGATGGGGATGCCTAGCTTGGAAGGTTCAGGCTGAGAACTAATGTAAGGCATTAACTATATTACAAAACCATCGATCCCAGGCGGATCTTCATTTTGGAGGACGGTACTAAGTGACCTTATTACATTAGTTACCAAAAATGCTTTCTTTCTGTAAATCGCTTAGTGGGGGTTCGTTCAAAGGCTTATTTTGCAGAAAAATGATTTATTCTATCAGCACGAGAGAAACTCTTACACCTTACGGTGCTTCAATACAAAATGGGGGCGAGATAGCTCGGTTTGTTAGAGCGTGAATTTACTGACCGGCCGATCCGTGGTTCGAATCCGATATCTGCCTATTGACTTCCCCTGTCTAGGCTTGGGCAACCTCGCAGTATCCCAGCCCTCGTGCTTCTTTCGGGTGGCGTGGCAGCTAGGCACCGGAAGGGTGTTACAGCTGAATTTCAAAAAAAAAATACCGAATGTTTAAATCGGACTATGGGTTTGCTCTTCAGAAACCTCCCCGTCGTGGTATCATGTGCCAAGTCATTCATTTCAATGGAGATTTCGTCCTGTCAGTAAGACCAGTGTATGCTGAAAAGCCATTGATCACTTTACAGCTGTTTCTGCTTTTGTGGGAATCACCAGGATCACCCACAGGACGAAATCTCCATTGAAATGTCCAACTCTGCTCACACTACCAACGACCATTCATTTAAAAAGGTAAGGAGTACTGATCTGGAGTTCTCGGAAACGTACCTTTTATGGTAACATCTGCACCGTGACAGTCGTTCGTTAAATGTCTGATTTGATCTGTTTTGTCTTTTCTGTCTTCTTTCGAACGGAAAGGCTGCTAGGCACCGAAAGAATGTTAAAGCTGAACGATGATTTCTTTTAAATGTGTATACCTCATTGTCAATACCGGAATCAACCAGCTTTAGTTTCGAATAGGAGTCCAGTGCTAAGTAAAATGTTCATGCACCCATCTAACACCGAAAAAAGTTCGTCACTTTGCGAATGCTCACCCTTTATTGTTTTGTTTACCGTAGAAGATATTTACTTTCAACCCAAACTATTAAAAGACGATTTTTCGAGTTGTCTAGTTTCAGAACTTGCACAAGATTACGTTGAGTCTTTTCTTCGCTCGTTGTCGCAGCTAGCCCAACTGTTCACGAAAACGGAAAAAACACCACTGCGGAAATTGCAAAAGTCAATATTGTTCTGCCAGGCACCACAGTTCTTTTACACCGTAGTTATATTCGGGTTGAGAGTTTTACGACTGCCTGCGAATTGAACATATTCGGAGTCGTAAACCACTTTGCTAGCTATCACCACAGCCCCTTGATCGAATGAAAATAAGGTCTGTTACCTGTCCGTTTTAGTTGTCATTCCAGCGGCAAGGTCTGTTATTTATACGGTTGTCAGCCCAGGATAGTTGATATTCTTTAGGTAGTCTGTTCGGCCAACTCCATTAATCCGTGTTCCGTAGGTCAATGTTGACATTATCATCATCGACTGCATGACATTAGTGTTCAACACCGATGCTTCACTGCCGTACAACCATGATTTATTTGAAAGCCTTATTGTAAAGAAAAGAGTAAGGGTGGACAGGGAAGAGACTTAGTGCTAGCTTACCACAATCATTCCGAGGTGCCTACACCTCCAGACATTCACTCAGGCAATCTGGATAGAAACTGACAACAAGAATACCACTGACATCAGCTGGAGTGTGATAGGTGTTCGTGTCGCCATGTTTCACGGAACCTGGGTAATGTGGTCCGGAGCATGAAGATAAATAACATATTCCTGATTACCTCAGAAGGAGAACTAATTCGCAGGTTGCGTGATAATTTAATATGAAAATTCGTCACTCCAGGATCCAGTCACCACGCGTTGTGAGTTTTGTGACCGCAGGACAAGTGGTACTGTATCCCGTTCAAGTGCAACCACCGCGGATCGACCTCTCATGACCGAACGGTTTAGTCTTCAACTACTAACCTGAGGGTTGTGAATTCAGATCGCCCTGGAGATAAGCACTGTTGATAATTCCCAACAAGGATGAATGAGCTATACAATGCTCTTCATATTTTCGGCGAAAGCCAAGTTGATGAGTGACAAGCGCTGTCAGTTTTCGGGGTCGGACTTTGTGGCCAGACGTTTCTCATGGAACGCAGGCACTTGGGTTGTTTGGTACAGTCGTGTCGATGAGTTATAGCCCGCCGCATGACGCAAGTGAAAAAACGGTTAGACCACACACCGTCCAACGAACCCCTTCGGGACAGGTCAAAATCGTTCTCCTGTTCAAACATTCTTTTTAGAGGGTACATTTTCCTAATCATACAATGGGATAACCTGTTAAGCACATCTATAACTAACGTCGACTGGCATGTGGGTAGTGATGAACCACCCAGCCGTCTGTGAGCAGCACATTCGTCTGAAGAGGTTCATACGGAGAAGGACTCGGCGAAATGCACTCATTTGCATACCGATTTGACTTTGACGGGAGACTTATTGGAACCCAGCTGAATCTCTCGCTTATGATGTTTCTAAGGCTTGCGTTGACACCACATCAGTTTTTAAACTTCACACTCTCCATGCAGCTTGTGTTATCAGTCTATCAGCAATCGATCTAATAGGACACCCCCATGTCGTTCCATCGCATCTATCGAATTCAGACTTGTTTGTTTTCCTCATATCCGAATCTGTTTTTCGCAAATCGACCATTATATTCATGGTAAAAGAAAGTAGTCGTACCCTTTAATGATAGCAAGATACTTTGCTGTGTACATCACATTGGAGAGTACCTGTTCCACGTATTGTTATCCCTCTATTACGACTACCTGTCTAATGCGACCGAGTTTGTTTGACCTGTTCACCCGCTGCCCTTTTATTCCTACCCCACCGCAGGATCCACAACAAAGGTGTATATTTCAAAATCGGCCTGCGCAAGATGATGAACCGAACCGCCTGCAAAGATTTACACAAACAAATTGTTGTCGTAGCCGACGGAAAGCTTCTCACTCTGCCTCCAATCGAGGGCCTCATCGTGCTCAACATTCACTCTTGGGGTGGTGGAGCCAATCCTTGGGGTCTGGAGAAAGACGACGTGTTCAACAAACCGACTCATTATGATGGCTTGCTGGAAGTGGTGGGCATTTCTGGCGTCGTCCACATGGGACAGATATACTCTGGCCTAGGTTCTGGAATTCGACTGGCCCAGGCTGGTCATGTACGTACATCTGCCGGGACTCGTTGTTTATGTATCACATGTGACCCACATTCATACTTCTCTTTTGTTATTTCAGTTGAAGATCCTCTTAAAAACGGAGCTACCAATCCAAATTGATGGAGAGCCGTTCATCCATCCACCTGGGCAAATCGTGGTACTTCGGTCTGCGCTGAGAGTAAGTGACGTACACGTTGTTGATTTGTTGTGAATTTGGCGTATAAGACGTGGAGTATCAGCGTCACTAATTAAACAAGGGGACCAACGCAAATAGTGACATTGTTTGAGTACATCGTTAACCCGGCATTATGACGTCTACCGTGGGTTGGACCGATAGAACATAACCGTTATTCTGTCCCAAAAGCTTTTCGCATTTCTGTGGACCGATAGTACCTAATGGATCTAGGGTACAAAACCATCAGTAATCGCCGGACCGGATCTCTCTTCATCATCTGGCCAGTAACACCTCTAGTAGGAACTAATTTACATATTAACTGATGTTGTATTAAAAAATTCTGGACAGCCATTTGTTCTAAATGTACTTTTGAATAACTGACATGCCAGATAAAGAGGTAAAGCACCGTTAAATGTCGTCCAATTGTAAAACGTCCAAGTTTTGTATCCATCGTTCAAGACATTGTATGGACCCGGCTACTTGATGAACCTACAGAAGTGTCCATTTTTTCCTGGTAATAATGACCTGATCATGACTGAAATTCCCACAATTGCAAACCCCTGTCCAATAGGAACCAGTCGTAGAACCTAATCAAATGGATGCAGTCTTGGGAAGGTCCCTATTCGGAAGGGATCGACCGAATTCCCAGTTTTATGTGACAGCCCAACAACTGTTATGTCGGACAATTAATTTAGCAAGAAAATGTCTTTTATCCGCTTGCGTTTTAGATTGTTCTCTGTTTACTTGTTAGTTTTCAGAAGTGAATTCTGGAACCAAACATGGGGTGCTATTAGGTTGGTTCGAACTCGCCTTCTCCCGTCTAGGTTTGGGCAACCTGGCAGTATCCCAGCCTTCGTGCTCCCTTCGGGTGTTACAGCTGAACGATCATTATTTATAATTTTACCACTAAGGACTTCGTTCCCAAAATTTCACCGGTTGAAGACGAAACTGTATGACTTTTCCCATCGTCTTCAGATTGGTCTGCCGTCACTTATCGTCTACTGTTTCGTCTTTATTCGAGCTTTTTAAATGGTCGTCCTCAGGTTTTTCGTTACCGAAGGGATAACATCTACCACCGATTAGTAGGAACAGATTCTCTAACCAAAATCTGATGAATTAATTGTTACATCCCGCCTATTCAGACGCAACCAAGTAGTCGTGTATGTCGTGGTTTTAGACCGGATAAAGTTGCCTTGGTTGTCGGCGTTTTCGTGCGTTTCACGCCTGGATTATCAGAATGATCGACTTATGTTTACTCTCAAGACAAAGCGATCTGAAATCGGAGGTATTCGGTTGAACCCGAGCGAGGTCACGCAGGATTTGTCCATAATAAACTGATAGGTCAGACCAAACTCACGTATTACCATGTGGGTGGCTCGGATAAGTGGTAAGCTATTCTGAATTTACTAGCGTGGTTCGTTGATGTGCGAATTGAGACGCACATTGTCTATAAATCCGCCTTCAGGGAACAGCAAGGAATGTCCTACAACTCTAATCCCCGGGACTGACAATCGCTAACAGCTTCACAGTGGCGCGTCATGACTTCTTGACTGAGCTCACTGACCGTTATCTTACATCGTATTGTCAAAAAACAGGGTCAATCACTGGCGAGCCCATGTCTCCATGATACATCAGCAGTTGGCGACAACAATGGGTGGAGCGGTTGTTTTTCGAACTAATCTTTCTTCTAGTGCTGGCCTAGTTCCTCCAATTATACACAGAATTCATACAGTTTTAGTGGCCTGCGCAGTGTACAACCTATGGTTCAGAATCTGCCGTTCTACTTTGGTGCGATTTCCGTTTCTTTGAACATTTCGCTTTGATTAGTTTCCAGGAATAATTCCAGACGGTAAGTACAGCAGAATAGATTCAACTCGATAAACACTGTTCGTGAATTGTCCTTCCCCATTTCTCGTCTGTAGGCGATTATGCTACGGAAGGTCAAACGCATCAAACGGCGTACAGTGGAAGCCAACCTACCCATGGAACTTAGTCGCCTTGGGATCCAGCGACAATTACAACCAGAATCATTAGAGACAATCAGTGCGGATCACCGATCGTCGTCTCCCTCGCCGAGATCACCCTCATTGTCTTCTCTGACCCAGTTGGGGAACGAAACCAACTGGACGAATGCTACCTCAACTGCGCTGGCAGGGATGATTCATCAACCTGCGACGCCCTCACAACCAACCCAGTCCACGTCGTCGGCGGCTAGGCAACCTGTACTGCCCCAACTTCCACCTTGCCTGTTTTCCGGTGACGATGTAGAAATCCCTGTTGTGCACATCACTCCCATTCATCGCGGGCAAAAATTCGATCGTGATGGCTACCCCAAATGAACCTGTTTATCCAGGTGGCTGATAGTGTGATAGGGGAGGTGCTTTATACAATATACGGTAGTCCTTTGTCCATATTATCGCCCTACGCCCATTCAAATCATGCACCCGTTATGTGTCAAAATCACCGCGGATTACTTTGTCGTTATTTCCTGTATTATACGCATTCTTACTTGCGATGGTTTAAAGAGAACTATATGATCGTGCTTGCAGTACTCTTTCATTTGCCTAATCAGATGGGATATCTAGAGGTCATTCTATCTATTCGTGTCCCTTTGCCGGAAACAACGGTCACCAAAGACAGTCTCATGGGAAAAGGGGATATCTGGTCTTTTCAGGGTAAACGTCGCACACTCGGTGGTAACTAATGGAGAGTTGTTAGAAACTTCCCGGGGTTCGCTCCCTTTTTGTTCGACTAATACCTTTTAGGGATACCTAGTCAGCTACGATTGTGCTTGCGCAGTATTCGGGGGGTCAAGTCGACGTAACATCTGGGCTGTCACTGGGATAGATGGTTAGTTCTTTTCAACACGCTTGCGCAATAGGATGTGCCGCAGAAGTTCGTGTTCGACAAGAAAATCTACTTTCCATTTTTGTTTCGTTACATTATTCATGAAATGAGGTGAGCACTGTAGGATCTTCAAAATCCTAGTGTTCAGGTCCAGTTGATAACCTTATTGACCTGGAGTATGCAGACGACACTGTTCTCATTTTTGAAAAATTCGCATTACTTGAAAAGCTGACGAAAATCATCCAGTCCTTTGGCATATACTTCGCATCCGAAAATTGTAAAGCTATGCTACAGGACATACAATTTTTGAATATGTCTCGGAGAACTCAACAGTGACACTGGGGGTTTTGGAACACTATTGATATCTTGGGAATTGCATTAGCGTGACAAACGCAGTGGGGACACGAATCTCAAAAACTAGAGTCGCGTTTGCCAATTTGCGTCACTTGTGGCGCTAAAAGGCACCCAGCTGAGCTCCAAAGGACACGTTTACCCGTCTACAGTATGGGCTGTCTTGTTACACGGCTGTGAGGTTTGGCCACTTTGGGCTGAGGATCTCAGACATCTTCAGGATTTTGATCACCTATGTCTCAGGACTATAGCTGGAATCAGTGAATTCACAATGAGCCGATCAGGATGCGTTCAACACTGATAGCCAAGGTGGCTGAGCCATGTTTTACGTCTGTGGAGACGAGTGCTGTTTGCTGTGGCTAATTCAGACTGTCGGAAACCTAAGGGTGGACACGATCTGACACGGTGGATGGGAGTGATGTTACGAGGTGTTTTGGCGCTGTTGGTGACATCCAGGACGGGATCCACGTGATTCCCCGTGTTTGGCTGGAGACATTGAACAACATGATGGCTAAGCGATGTCGGTGGAGTTCAAGCTGTTAATTTCTGATCTGATTGTTGGAGTTTTAGGCATCTCGAGTGTTTGTCGCAGGCCAGTCCTAGGTCCTTCTCCGTCCCCCATCTCTTTCTTCGTTCGATTATAAGGTTTTGTTTAATTAAACTGACATGGTTGTGCGGTAGCGAAGTATCAGCGCTCTCATCTGGTGGTGATGGTCATCATGAGGGTCGATGGATTATCCGAATACAGNCCTAGGTACTTCTTCGTTCCCCATCTCTATCTTCGTTAGATTATAAGGTTTTGTTCAAATAAACTGACATGGTTGTACGGTAGCGAAGTATCAGCGCTCTCATCTGGTGGTGATGGTCATCATGAGGGTCGATGGATTATCCGAATACAGCGACTTGTTGACTGTGGTGGTCATGTGCCTCTCAGCTGAGTGCATCGGGACCTTGTTTACCCGGTTCAAACAGCTGGTCGTGGTGTCTCCGATACTGTTTGGCATTTTTTCAAGAGTTCGCTTCTGTTGTTTTTACTTTGTGATGTGTTCCGCAATGTAGTGGAGTCTGGTGGCTGTCGGTGATACACTAGTAGCGTACGCTGCCCCCACCGTTATTCTCGGTCGTTGAATTTTGAAACAATTCCTCCTATCACTGATCTGGTATCTTCGAATGCCTGTCAATGGATGAGCAAGTTGTTCCAAACGACCCAAGTGGAACTGCCGCCTTTGAGTACCCCGACCCTCATACGGGTATGGTTGAAGGCAAGTCGGGTTCACCACGTGAGTATTGTGGATTTTGGCTGTGTTGTGAGCTAGCGAGTTGAAATTCCATGGAAATCCGGAGGCTTACACAATTTTGTGGTCGCCTGCGGGAGGCTCAACGGTTTATATTGCTCTGGTGTCGCCGTTGGGTTTTTTTTTGGAAGAGGGACGCATCGTTCTTCCGCAATAAAGATCGCAGAATGAAGTTCTACTGACGATTGCTTCGATCGTTCCCCAAGTAACTTGACGTCTTCCTAACTTCTAGGTTGATAGCGTTGCCAAGCCACATTAAATTTGCGGATGAAATCATTCTTCCTAGTTAGTCACCCTCCCAAAACCAATTCTGATTCTACATTACAGACTATCGGTTGGAGATCGTCAGCACGCCCATCTATGTGGAAAGTATTGTATCCTGTTCGCATACCTCGGCCTGCAGAATAAGTAACTACATTCCAGGTGCTGGGATACTGTCGATTACGGGTACGGACGGATATGAGGTTGTCGACCAAGACCCGAGTATAGTGTTCCGTGCAATGGGTCCTCTGTTGTGAAAGCTGGCCTCTTGAAGAGGGAAATCCATAGTCTCAGTCTCCATTAGATGAGCAATTTACCAAGCACACGCCCAACACGCAACAAAGATGCACAGATTTCACTACCTGGGTCAAGGTTCGTGATTCCCGCACCGAACATTAATCGTAACGCAAACTGAAGACGAGTGACGGTAGACCGGCAACGCGCTGAGGCCGGTATGCCTCATCAATCGGGTTGGTGACCAGGTTAAACCTATTCACGACTTTTAGTTGTACCTTCTGATGATGGCAACATATCGCAGTCCTTTTCGGTTTGTTGGCCCATCATAAGGAGCCCCACTTTACAGTCTCAGTTTTGTTATTTCACTTTACTTTCGGTTTATTCTTGCTGGATCCATTCAGCTCAATGATATGACGCAAGCATGGCTTGACTGAAAATGATGGGAATTCCCCAACAGTATTCGAGTCAGTGATAGGAAAAGCCATTAGGAGTTGGTCATCGTAGCTGTTTAAACCTAGTCTGCAGGTCCAATGCGCTCTTCAGGAACCGAGATAATTTGGCCACACCGACTTTGTTTGCTCGGATTCGACATCGGAAATGGCTTTTTTCAGGGACACTACTCATGAGTTTGCTGAAAACTGTTCGACAGCCCATGACAGGTTTCGCCTTGATGTTTTATTGCCTAGATGGGTCCGGCCCTGTAGCAGGCTTCTCGCAGCAACTGCCACTGGCTGCTGTAAGCTGTCGCATCCACTAAGCCGCAATGGGCGACGTGGCATGCACCATCCGAGCTGTCTAAACAGCCACCGATAATTAAATAAATTCGGCTTTAACGGGAAACTCAACCAAATCTCATCCGAGTCACGTGTGTCTGATATTCTTCAACCGAATGCGCTGCACGAACGCCGCCTGATGTTTCAGTTGGTATCGCAGCATATTTACTTTCGTAAGATTGCTGAGCACCGTTCGACAGCCCACGACCGGTTTTGCCGTTCCGGGGCTTATCAGGTAGATGCAGTCCTCTAGTCTTCGTCAAATGTATGTTCTATTCGGACCAAAGTCGTGCGTAATTCGCGAAATATACTAATTTGACTTCATCGGGAGACTCAGTTGACTCACTCGTTCATGACAATGGACTGCTGCTGAGTGAATGACTGGAACGGTCTACATAAGAACTTTTTCGTGCAGATACGAAAGCCTCACCACAATAGATCCACAGTGCTCAGTTCATAAACCCCATAGAAAGCAACTGTTCATTCTTCTTCTGAGCCGACTGTCTCGTTCTTTATCAGACATATGAACGACTGCCCGCGACCCAATACAAGAGACCTAAAGTCTGGAACAATTCGGTAGTTTTCTGTGAGCGTCCTGTTTGGGGTGACGCAGATGTTAGGAGGACATTGTACATTGTGATATTTCCATCAGGATCGGCTACTATTTATTTGCCTAACTTTACTTAACTCTCAGTTCTGGGAAATCGATGACTCCGCTGTTACGTAAGGTGGTGGAAGTAGCTCAAAGGTAACCCTAAACAGTGGCTGTTCCAATATGGCGTTCTGAATTTCATCGCTATATTTGCGGAACGAGTCACTATCGGAGGGACTCTCGGACTTCTCGGTGTTCGACTGAGAAGCTTCCGAGCGGTGACACCGATGTGCAATCTCAGCTTTACACTCCAGCATTCTTTGTTTTCTTCACCCTTGTAATTTCTACCCTCATATCAGCTTTTTAGGCTCACATCAAAGCACACTGCTCCCGATATTGGTTATTTTTATTGATATACAAAACATTTTATGGAAAACAATCTACTGCACACAAGTAGGAACGAATGCTTCAAAATTATGAGGTTAAAGTCAAGGTGAAAAAAAAACAACTAAAAATGACAAAACGTCATTCAAGTGGCAATGAACAGTTGTGAATAATATTGCACTTTAGTTGAACATTGCAAATTCTACTGGAGTACAACGGAGAGGAAACATATAGGTAGGCAAGCCTTCGCGATGTAATTGGAACAACGAGGGGCCATCAGTCTATCGATTCAAGTTGTGTCGATTGTGCACCCGATACTCCGGTAGGTGAATCTAACATATGGAGTCAAAAAAAGAACGGTACTTGGGAGCTGAACTGAAAGAAGCGTCATTTAGGCAGATGAAATCATTTGCAAGATATCAGTGGTATTATATTGTCAATGTGGATGTATCTTGCGCGGTGTATGGTTAGTCACACTAGGTCATCTATGAGTGTCAGTTTGCTGTATTGGTCAGTAATCCTCAGTGACTTTCGTTCAGAGAGTCACGAGTTCGACTCGCTCTTTAGATGCATGAGATCGAAGTATCTAACAGAAACAAGGTGATCATACAGCGATGCTTGATGTGTCAGCTTGGTTGGCTTAGCTTCGAATTATATCAGTTTTGCTAGAAAAATGTGTGGTTGTGACCATGTCGCTAAACAAAGTTGCTAGAGTTCCGCCTTGTTTATGTGAACCCATCACTTATCATGATAGATATAAGGGAAATTATTGAAAGGGACACTTGTGAGAACAAACCAGGTGTCCAAGAGTAGCGTATACTTAATTAAGGTAGACCTCATTCGCGGTGCCTGATCTCCATCCTCTCGCTGTGCACAGTCGCGAGTAAGCCTCATTGACATAACGCCTCTCGGCGTGACGGACCAAGAAATGACCTATGGGGAGGCGTGCTTACTACGTCTAATGCGTTAAAAAGGGAAGTAGATTCATGAAGAAAATTACTCACAGGGTTTCTGAAAACTCTTCGACAGCCAACGACTGGTTTCTTCCTTCTTGGGGCTCATCAGCTGAGTCTCCCGTGGAAATCAAATTGATATGCAAGTGAGTATATTTGTCGAAATTAGTCGGGGACCGCGCCTACCTGATGAGCCCCAAGAAGGGTAAAACTCGTCGTGGGCTATCGCAGAGATCTCAACAGTCTTTTATAAAACTATAGTGCGATATCTCGAATATCTTCCTAACTAAGAAACGAGACGGCCTTTGTGCACCATATTCAGTTGAAGAATACCATAAACGAGAGATTCAGTTGAGTTCAAGTGAGTCGCCCGTGAAAAACAAATTGGTAGGCAAATGTGTGTATTTGAGGAAAGTAGACTCATTTTGCGCCTGAATTCTTGAGAATTTGGCACTGCCTGGCGCCTGTTCGTGCACCGCCTCGCAGATGACTTTAGACTGGGCAAGCCATGTTTAATTTCTGAGAAACCGGAAACCATTGAAACCTCATATCCATGATTACTATAAGGCAAGTCCAACAGGCCATAATGATTTCGGGTCTAAACCATAAGTTACTTTTCACCTTCAGCAGATTCCTGCAGCCTAACTGTACTTTAAAACGGAATTGCATGATCCGATCGCAAACGTTCACTTTACCCGTTCAATATTGGGCACTTGACCAGTGATCAACACAGCAGTCGCATACTAATGACTTACAAGGAATTCAAGGGAGAATTTGTTATTTGACACGGATATAAAAAACTATGCTAGCCTTACAGAACTTGCCCAACTCATCCTCGCTAGCCGTTGCCTCATACTCGGTGTCCTCCTGAGCTGGCCCGGGTGCAGCGTGCCTGTCGAGTTGCTGAGGATCGACATCGTCATCCACATCCAATCTACCAACCATGCGTTCGGCTTGATTCATAGCACTAAGCAGACGAGTCATTTCCTTTTCGGTCTGCTCCAAACGTATGCGCAATGCAGTAAATTCGTCGTGATTGACTGTTTGCAAAGGAAGTTCAAGGAATAATTTAACTACTTGCACGTATATCAGCAGTACGGAAAGCATTTTAGGATTTACCCGAGCGCAGGTCGCCCATCTTGGGCAGAAGGGACAGACCATTTCGTGGCAAAACACAGAGAGCCACAATGGAAGGACAGAAGTCTGACGATACAGACGATTTGACGCTCATGTTGCAAGGCAGCTGTGCTGCGCAGAAAAATACAGTCACGTGGTCCAGATTACAGCCAGATGTAAGGTTTAAACTGAATAGCCCAGAGCCCCGTTATTGCCAACATTTACCGGAAAAATATCGTCTAGAACAGATTGATCATCTTCGGGCGTTGCAAAATGTGGGCAAGAAGGCAGTTCGGAAGTATTTATTTACAATTCGTTCAGGTTGCAATATTGGGTGCACCTAAGTATCGTGTGAAACCAGAGGGGATGGTCAATACTGGTAACGTGAAATTCACTCGCAGCCGTTAGGTTAAAGGTTGCCTATTTAAACCGAACTGTTGGCTTGTGAGATCGGTATTACGAGCAATTGGTGCAAACAGTTATACGAATCTTATAGGATTTTAAGATACGGTAAACTTGGGACCACCGCAAACATAAAAATTCTGCGCACTTCCAGTCAAACGCGCAACAGTGAAGGACCACGAAGAATACACTATAAGGCTATATAGGGCTACCACGAACCAGTTACTGAAACGATCCTTACCCACATCTTCGCTCTCAATTTTGAGTAGAAGTGCTTCCAAGTCGCGCGGTAAACTTTTTGCCGAGCGAAAGATGTCGCGTTGCCCCTCAGCACCGTAAGCAGCAGCCCAGTCGAAGCGACCATCCTTATTGGCTGCGGCGGGGAAGGGAAGAGGAGAAAACGAACCCATGGGCAAAAATAATCAAAGGTGCGATGCACAACTACGGAAAAGCTGCGTTAGCTGAAACTAATTTAAACATATGAGAAGACACTTCACCCTGTCTAGGCTTGGGCGACCTGAAAGTATCCCAACCCTCGTGCCTCATTCGTGTGGCATGGCAGTTAGGCACCGAAAGGGTGCTACAGATGGACGAAGATACTTCAACAAGTCTTGAAAGATCTTCTGGTCCCAACATTTGGTGTAACGAGACAGATGATCGGGTGTACTGAAGGTCTAACCCGATATGCGATGCCACCTCTCAGTATGGCACAGAGGAACATTCACAAAACATTGGATCATAGTGAGGGAGAATGATGGGTAGACAAACTGACTAATCTGATGGTCGCAAAGGTCGTAAAACCCCTTCGATACCTAGCTATCATACAAACTGAAGAGTGCATACGTGTTGAGGTATTGTCAGGTTACAAAACACTAACCTCTGAAACAGCAGCCCGTACCTTAACTGCGGCGGACTACACAGCTGTCCATATGTTCAGCCAAAATCCGATGCTCCAAGGTCGAGCTATATTGAGGACTTCCAATCGAGAAGAAAAATTCACTGCTTACACGACTTTGGCCGCAGTTTCAATGGGCATCCAACTTGGAGAAATGAAGAGGCAAATGTTCGCCCACGAGAATATCATCAGGGGTTATGAGGACTTCAGCAAGGATGACAGCTGTGTGTTCATCTAATTATTCCCTCTACACATGTACCTAAGAGTGAATCGACATACTGTTCAATTCAGTCTAGTTTATCGGCTAGGAACCATGTACCAAGGACACGTTGGATCCAACTGCTACAGTTTCGGTCATCGGGAAATGGGACAGCACGGGAAAATAGCCAAGCATTGGAGGCGATGGCATGATCAGTTAGTTCCGGAAACTGGGCAGCCACGCATCAAAGGCAGTAGCTTTAGTACATTAGCGCCACAGATTGCCTGATTGGGCCACGTCTGCCAGTGTCATTGACCATCGGTGAGTTGGTTCCCGAGGACGTCATCCCGAGTGAGTTCATGTTTTCATGCTTCTTTGCCACGTCATGGACTATCAACCTCCCGGATGCTTTCGCTTAGCACAGATCTGGATGAAATCAACTATGTGAGGCAGAGAGTTCTCTGGCACGCGGATTACCTGTCCCAACCTGATGTGCTCTCGATTAGCCAATCTGCTTCCCTATAAGTTCGAGGATGAAGTGACATGAGGACATATCATTGAAATATCGACCCCAAGACGGAATTGAGTCATTGTATCAGAAAGATTTGCTCACTGAAGCAAACCGTTCACTTACTCGGCTGGGTAAGCCAGGCCAAAAAGAACTTGCCGGTCGAAACGTAGCCTGGTTCCAGAGCAGCAATAATCGTACTATATGGTCGTCAAAAAGGCATACACGATTTGCTGCTGCCATATCCTCACATTGTAAGATGTTTGTAGCAGGTTAGCATTAGGTCCTCTCCCCTATCTCATTTCTTCTTTCCACTACAAGGCTTTATTCAAACAAACTAACATGGTTATATAGAGGTGAAACAACAGTGTCTGCCTCAGGTGTTGCTGTCAATGACAGTAATGAATCATCACATTGTTGGCTCTTTTCAGAGAGATTATTCGAGTGGAAATGAGCTAATGGATGAAGGGCTTACACGAGTGTTTTCCTCACCCAAAGAGCCCAAACATGACCAGTGTAGTCTGAGTAGACCATGATGGGTTCCACTGAATTAGGGACACTGAAAGAAGGGGATATCAGGGATGGTCAACACTATTTGTGCAGGTGGAAAGGACCCAGTTTTACCAGATCACGCCGATCAATTATTGGTCGGTCGTGGGCTTCAGTCCAAACAGAACCGGGCTGTTGATAACAGTTCCGGTCTCTAGAATGGAAAATAGGTCGAATCACAACTGAGTTCGTCTTCTCCGGGTCGCAGTACTGAGTAAACGACTACCAACCTCTGTTCAGTCAGAGGTTACGTTAGCCGAGTAAGTGATATGGAGCAATGATGACCGGACTGCCATGTACGCGGGGAATTCCCCAAGTGACTTAGGCCAGACCGACCAAATAGTTGCTATGGCGACAGTGACCAACTTCATTCAATGCGCACGAATGTTGGTACTGAGTTCGTTTCAGTGAATCCACGTAAAGCAAACAAAACAAGTGATCGCAGGACCAATAGAATTCACACCGCTCGCTGAACAGTTAGCATGGCGGGTTGAAGCATATGTTAGGCTTCCTTCAGTACGCACGAAAGGTCACCTAAAGTGCACTTTGGCTTATGTAACAAGATCGCAGTAGTCACCTGATTAGGATATCACGTAACTTATACGCAACTTAACCTAAGTACAATCGCGACCAGCTGCATGCGAGCACCAGTGGTTAAAGGCAACCGGTGCACGTGAAGTGTAAAAGAAACATACTGAACTTCGGCTTTCCCAAGCGTGATGCACGAGTAGAACTCAGCAGTCCCAAGGATCCTTTTGGTATATCCTCCGACTCCTCGTCCTCCTCACCTTCGTCCGAAGATCCGTGTCCCATGCGAAACTTGCCATGACGTGTATCATAATGGAAGTCACGATAGTAATGGCGCAAAAACTCTTCTTTATGGTCATTATTCTTCCGGTTCCGCGAACGATAAATCTGTTTTTATTTTTTTTTTTTGGGGCGTGTATCATAAGTCACGATAGTAATGGCGCAAAAACTCTTCTTTATGGTCATTATTCTTCCGGTTCCGCGAACGATAAATCTGTTTTTATTTTATTTTTTGGGGGGGGGAGATGATTCAATGTGAAACTGAAATTGAGCTCAGGGTAACCGTGCAGAATATACTGGGTGTCCGGTGGAAAGCAAAAATACAACATCTTATTTCCACCGAAACAGTTTAACAATGTGCAGAAAATTAAACGCTATCTCTTGCTAAAGTCAACCCTGCTTCTGAATCATCCATATTAGCAGGTAATTAGTTAACGCTCCTGTTGCTGCATTGATTTAAAAATAGTTCAATCATCCAACCCAGTCACCACTGTTATAACCCGACTTGTAGTGCAGTGTAGCTGGAGAGATTCTAACTGTATCGTCCGACAATAAAATCAAAGTTAACACTGTCAGTTGAGTGAAGATTACTCGATGAATAACCTAATTATCAAGAGGCGTCGATAACAAAAGGAACATTCACGGCTGGTTGATACATATGCTCCGATCTTTACCTCACCAATACGACAATAGGAATGCTACAGAGAACACGGGTCCTCAAGCCAAAAACGTGCCAACTACATCATTCCGGTCGTGCCGGCTGGGCACAGTATGTGACTGCGGACAACACACCTAGTGGAATTGAAACAACGTCAAACGATGCCAGTGCATGGGAGGAGATAGTCCCCATTACACATCTAGTCCGATCGAACTAGCTGAAAATGAAACCAGTCACTATGAGCTCGGGTTCGGTTGATGGAGTTACAGATTGCGCATAAGTGATCTTTGTCAAATGGTCCGGAGCGAAGGTCTTCAAAAATGAGGAGTCGACTGTTCGCCACATCTATTACGATCAACCGTTCGTTTTCGTTTACAGTCATAACCAGTTGAAGACTAGCATACTCACCAGATATCATAAATCGAGCAAGTTATTCCTAGGGATTGTAAATATTCGCTTCGTTTGTACTCCAGTGGTGCAAAATTACTTGAGAATTCTGGATAATTAAACATCTGAGATGTGCGGGGTTCGGTGGTCCAAGTACTGGCCACAAGCATTAGACGTGGTCGGTGCCACATGCATGGAACAGAACCATCCCACGATATGGCACGCGAGTCACGTCGATGGCTTTGAAAACGTAGCTGCCGAGTTTCCTGAGCTAAGTGATCACTACATCACCTTTGGTGCTCGGCTGTATCTCCTGCGTCATCCAATTTTCTAGTGGCTAAAACTGTAGCAGCTGGAACGAACGTACCCTTAGTACCTGGTTCATAGCTGATAAACTGAGTGACTGATTGAACGAAGGTCTTTTCAGACCCAGTAAAAATACCCCGATGCGAGAAGTCACATGAAATGATTCAGAGGGACAGGCAAGTATGATCACAAGAGCGCAGTACAAAGTGGTCTTGAAGAAATTAGAGTTGAAATTTCGTTTCTTGCGGATTCTGAATGTCTGAGGACTCAATAGATAGGATTTAAGCAGTATTTTCAGCCGAACTCCGTGAAGAAGTCAGCAATGGTAACCATGGTTAGAAGGAGATGAAGTTTCAACCATCGGCATGTGTTGGAACTACAACCCTTCCCCCCAATTGAGTGCAATTGAAGTGAAAAGACTTCGAAGAAAGCGAAATTCCCTGTCTCACATGGATCTTCCTACAAGAAGATACAAGAAGAACCCATAACAGTTGCATCTCAGAAGAGAACGATCTACCTACCCAAATTTTAAAGTGTGTGCGCAACTAGCAACTAGTCCATGGATTCAGTGTGATATCGCATTTAGGTATCTGTCGGGTTGTTGAAGAATCAATGCTAAAACGGTGCTGAATGCATGCGTGGTGTTTCGTAATATAAGGCTTGTGGTCTGTGCTTGAACGAGTATAGCCAGTTCAATGTAGCTTAAGTAAAGATTATCTCGAAGAGTAGGTACCGTACTTTTAAAATCTCGATCAGCGGTGGATCTGCAGCACTCTTCTTTATAGCAAACACTTCACGAGTAGTCAAACCATTTCCACCTTTGGGGTACTGCGTACTTGGGGGTTCGGGTCGAACCCGAGGTAAAATAAGACAAGGTTTTGAAGATCCTGTAACTCAGTGATCATTCGACAGCACGGGTCTCCTCTTTTTTACCACACTAAACACAGGGTTGTCTCATTCAACCGTGCTAGGGAGAATTCTATACAGGTACCGCTTCACCGCTCGCAGTGTAGGGAGAATTACAGGTACCGCTTCACCGCTCGCAGTTAGGCACTGCTACGGCCGAGAAGCCTATTCCGCACAAGGTTGACCAAACGTTCGTTCGGCTTGCCTGTCCGGCATCAAGGCGAGCTTCGATTAGTCGAAAGTCTGGACCTAGCGGCCTATCATGACCCAGTTTTTGCCGAACGCCGGTCGCCATTAGCGCATCCAAAAGGCGTCAGAATTTCCAGAATATTGTCGCACCATACACTTTATATACGACGCGCCGTAAATGTGCTTCTAACCTGGTTTTAAGCGTTAATACACGTCGTACACCTTTGGTGGTTGCTTTTTGCGGGAACCCCAGCTTGAGAGATTCAGATCGAGAACTAAGCTGAGGGAAACTAACTTTATTACAAACCTGCAGCCTTTCGATTAACAGTCTGGACATAGATTTGCCATGCATCCAAGATAGCGGCTGTGACATTCTGTTTATCAAACAGAATCATTTATTCTGAAACGTTTTCAACCTGTCATTACCAGCTATCAACTCTGAACAGTCAATCCTACGCGTCCTGTTCTTAAAGCGACCTCAGTAAATGTGATA